GTGAAACAAAAGACATGTATTACATGTCATCAATGATTATGGTCTCGCCTCATGTACATGTCTGTGTCTAATACATTAAAAAATCTGATTCGACAAGGACCATGATAAATATTGATGAAGTGATGACGGAAATATGATGGATCAAATTCAAGTTTCTGTGTATTTCTCACCAGTAAAAGAGTGTCAGAAAATATCATACCTGGGTTTGTTTCTAGTGACCTCACCGGTACTTTTGTGCAGCAGGCTGATGAGTTTGCGGATATTTGCAGGTTCGCTCAGTGTCTGGTAATGAAACACCACCTACGACAACATTACAACAAACACAATGAATGGAATGTGCTAAGTCAGTTGTTGCAGTGCTGGTTATTTCAAGTTTCATACCTGTGTGACAACAATCTTCTGCTGCCATGTTTGCTAGAATCAGCCAGCATCTCACAATATTATGAATAAAACAAGAAATTCAGGAAAAATTCATTGAGATTTTTTATTTTTGTACAGCAGTGTAGGAGACAACTCACAGGAAATCCCTTCGTGATTGGCACATCAATGTTGAAGATGATGACTCGAGCCCTGATTCTGGAGGCAGCCAGGATGGGGTTGGCTAGGTCACACAGTACACTTCCAACACTGGGGACAGAACACAGGTTACTACATGTAAGAACTGTTTCACATTCAAACAATAAATCAGCAATTACATACTTCTGCGTTTTGTGATATCTGTGAATGTATTTGGAAATGTATTGTGTGATCATGGAGGAAATCCTCAATTGAATTACATCATAATCAGGACTGTTACTACCAGTAATAATACATAATTATGATTGTATGCCGAACGTTACTCAATGTTTCATGTTTCATACCATGATTAAACAGTACACCTTCCTGGTAATCACATACTACATTCTGCCACCCAGGGCATACTACTAGATCACAACCCTCTAGGCCTGGCCTAAAGCTACAGTTACTATAGATTTAAACCTAGAGGTTTATCTCTGATGATTGTTGTATCTTCATAAGTCAGGGGTTACCACCCTGTTCCCTCACCTGACTTTCATGATGTCAGTGCCTGTTACTGTTAGTGTAGCATGGTCCCCTGCACATGCCCAGTTCATCGGGAAGTCATGAATTGCAATTCCTGAGAGACAAGAGACAAGATGATTCACGAGAAATACATCTGGAATTCTTTGTGTGTTCATAAACCCAAACATAATGTTTAAAACAGTTTCCTAAAGGTCTAAACTTGAGTTAAACTTTTTTAAATTCATTATTGTGAATTACCCTGATTCTGAGTCTGTTGAATCTGACTAGGCATTTTCCTACTAGCCTCCATAATATACCGGTAGCATGCACAAGGAATGAGATAACTCTGGGACTTGTCCAGACTTACTATCAGTGCTTACCATGTGGAAATAACTACAAAAAACAAGCAAAGACACAAACAGACACAGTACAGAGAAAAACAAATTAAAACCATTCCTACCTTTGACAGTTGCAGTTTCCCCTACAGGCATGACCATGACCCTAGTGCTGTTCTGTATGCTGCCTGCAACCAGCCTGCCTGCAACACTGAAACCACTCCCCATCCCTGCAGCATGAGCACATAGAGCACTAATTAGTAATGCCATCAATTCCTTTTTAACTTGATAACACTGATATACACTTGGACAGTTGGACTGTACGTACATGTACATTTGATTTAAGTGGTTTCATTCTGTGGTTTCATTCATTACCATGCATTGCATTGTAACTTCTTGCAACCAGATACCACGCAACAGTTTGTGATTTTTTTTCAATCAGAAGATGTTTGCAATACAAAGTCTATTAGAGGGTGTATTTCTCACCTTTAAAAACATCGGAAACACAGAACCTAAATGGCTTGTCCACAGGTCTTGGAGGAGGCTTGAATGAATCTGTGTACAAAGAGAGTCATTTCAGTCATTTGGATCATGAGTGTGTTGTTGTCTTTTAAATTGTACAAATGTTAATGTGGTTGCTCAATTCAGTCAATGGTCACTCGCTCTACTGGAAAGAGAGCCTCATGATCATTGTTTGGTTTGAACGCACCTATTTGGTGTAGCAGACATGGTCCCTTGTACCAGGCGGTTAGCTGGGGTTCAGAAGCGGGCTTGATTAAGTTCTCTCCCTGTAGACCACTCACAGGGATGTACACAACGTCAGAGTCCTGCAAGGGGAAATGCACTGGGTCTTCAACATACATGTACCTTATCATCATGTATAGGAGACTTAAGTTTTACTATGTACGGTAACCATACAATGAAAGAGTCAGATTCCATTTTTTCTTTTGCATGTGTGTTCATAAAGATAACAGTTGAATGTACAGTCAAACAATAAGTTACCTTGGAAATGTCACTTGGTCATTTCTTAAAATAGAAGGAAATTCTTAGAAGAATGATGATTAAGAATTTGATTAAAATTTCGTACTACAACATGTCATGTAAATCAAGAATTCTACAAACCTTGAACCCTGCCTGCTTGAGAAAATGCCCCAGCTTCTTAACAATCTCCTGGTATCTGTTTTCTGACCAGCCCACCTGGAAAATACAGAGTGAAGCATTGATACAAAGTACCCTACAAGTTTGAGTAGAGTCCACTACAATGTAAAATAGGCCCACAAATTAAAAAGAGCAGACTGAGCAAAGATTTACTAAAACATGAACCAGCTTTACAGAAAATATCATCACTCAGTTAGTTTTGACAAGACAGACTCACTGTGTCCAGTTTGTTGATAGCCACGGTCAGCTGGGTGACCCCAAGTGACCTGACCAACATGGCGTGTTCCCTGGTCTGACCGCCAGCCTCGAAACCGGCCTCGAACTCCCCGGTACTGGCATCAACCACCAAGATGGCCACATCTGCCTGGAGTCACAAATAAACATCGTATTGTCCTTATACTATAAGGAAAAATGGTGCTGGAAAAATTTGTATCCTACATGTATGTCATGATTTGCTGAGTCCATTCGACTAAAAATTGAGGTGTGGCTCATCTCAAAGACAGAGTTTCCAGCCTTATTTCCCATCCAAGTGGACATCCCTATATATAGCTAAACAAAGCTAGTTTTACAGTAGTATAATACAGGAGTGAGTGAGGAAATAGTTCATTCCAAATGGTGCAACATGGGGGCCTGCCAGGGATTCAAACCCTTAAACCACTTCTAAAATTTCTATACAAGAGGAACGGCAAAGTAAGATCCTATGAGCTGTATGTTGACTGACCTGTGCAGCTCCAGTGATCATGTTGGGGATGAAGTCTCTGTGTCCAGGTGCGTCTAACAAGGTCACCACCTTGTGGTCTGTCTCAAACTTGGTCAAGCCAACATCCATGGTTATACCCCTACACACATGTACACAACAGGATTGTTTTGTTCGATGTTTTTGTAGTAGTTTGTTTTATAACACATCATTTCTTGACCTGTGATTGCATCTGAGCAGATTAGGACTGTCTGGAACTTTGTTTTAAAAAATGTATACTATAGCCGTCTCACACAGAGAGCCTTTGAAGACTCCCAACCATGGTTGGACTTGTTCATCACCACTAACTCATGACCAACTTTCAACTTACAGGAATAACTTCCAAAGTCAGACCGTAACTCCAAACCCACCTGACTCTCTCCTCTCCAGTTTCATCCAGTACCCAGGCGTAAGCAAAGGACGCCTTCCCAGCCTTCTGGGACTCCACCTCGTACTTGTGCATGGTCTTCTTGTTGACATGTCCCATCCTGTACAGGAGGTGGCCCATCAATGTGCTCTTCCCTGCATCTACATGACCTGGGGAGGGGGGCGGAAACAAAGTGCTGGCTCTGATTATTTTTGCTACTATGAAGCTAGTTACAATTACAGTAACAGTACATTTAAACTTAAATATAATAATATTATGCAATACGTTCTCAATGTTACAGTTTTGTTTTGTTATGTCATAGCCATTCACTTGACTGTGTAATGAAAAAGACCAAATTAAGTCTTATAAAGAAGTTGCTATAATAAAGAAGTTGCTAACCTATGATGACCATGTTGATGACTTCTTTACCCTCGTCCCTTTTGCTGAGTTCTGCTGCAACATCTAGGACCTGATAGCATATTACAAAACAAAATCTGATATAAAATCAAGTACAATTCAGAGAATTAGGTCAAAGGCTACCAGTATCTCATTTCCTGTCTTCAGTGTTCTGCTATGTGCATGTCTGTTGCCTTCTGGGAGCCAGTGGGAAAATACCTTGACAGAATACGCAAGACATTCACAATAATGAATAAAACAAGAAATTAACAAAAATTATTTTTTGGAAGTATGAAATGATCTTCAACTTCTTGTATGTAGAGTGATACTGACCCCCTGCTTGGTCTTGCCGGCAGCCTTCTGTGATGTGGAGATGGCCTGCTGGTCATCCCGCTCGCCGGCCTCTGTGCTGGCCCCTAAACCATTCTCTGCACTGGACCAGAAGCACAAGTCAGGAAAGAACTGGACATCAGAAACTAAACACAATATTGTGCAACAATACAAGACATGTAGCAAGAAAATTTTATGGATGATATCTACAAGCACACTAGGATTACACTCTGCACTACAGGTCATGGAAAAGAAGACTTGTTTTGTCACCTCCAATTTTGTTACAACACTTATGTTCTATATTTTGAAAATGTTAGGTATCTTGTTTCTTTTCCTGCACTCTCGCATATGTTTTGGAGTATGCAGATTTCATCCATGAATTTACTTGCAGTGGCCTAAGTTTACAGTACATGAAATAATAGCAAGTTTTGTTCAAAGCTTCAGTATATGTATTAGTTGCCGGTAATGCTCACATCACTTCTCTTGTGTCTGCTGGAGGCACCTGGAAACCGGTTGTGACCTGTTTTCCACTGGTTGCTACTGGTTGGAAACCGGTTTTGACCTGTTTCCTGGGGGTGCTGACCTGGGCCACCCGGGGGGCTGCAGCTGGGGCCTGCTGCCACCTGTCACCTGCACTTGCACCTGAAGGGTCACATTGAACCATTGCAGCTGCAGGATACTTCAACTTATCCACAAAAGCCCCATCAACCTCAGTCAAAATGTAGAAATGCAAAATAAAAACATAAAACTGGAATAATCTCCCATTCATCCAACCAACCAGAGATTCATACCATATTCATATCTAGGAACTCCATATTTTATTGAGATATTGTACAATAAAAAAAAGTCATATAAAACCACTGACAAAAACACTGCAGGGAATTTGTCAGATCTTTCAACTGCATGGACAACTATGACAGAAAATTTCACTCTCAAACAACATTTTTGTACATCTAAGCAACTCATTTATAAAATTTAGTCTTACATATGTGCAGGCTGTAACGTACATGTATGGTCATCATACAATTAACGTAGTGGAGCGCTGTGACAGGACCAACCACCAACAAGGATCTAGGACTAGTCTTTTCCGTAACAAAACAACTGAATTTGTAATGTATGAAACATGCATAACTAAATGAGGTCAAGGGATACATCTCAGCTGAGGTCAAAGATTGAATTTGAAGAATGACCTCAATCAGTTAGTGACCATACAGCAATCATACAAGGAGTATGACCAGGCCCTAAGCTTGCATGCATATTGAACACTCTTTTCTCATAAAAAGTATACAATCGTAACGCATTTCAACTGCGTGGCCAATAATCATACTTTATGTACTGCTTTATCAAAGTGTCACTGCATGTTTTTGGGGGAAGGGGGCACCATAAATTGAGTAAATTGAGGCTACATGTAAGTCTACATGTATGCTCTATGTCATCAAATTTACAACTTGCTGCAACTTGATGCCTACTGAAATCTTTGCCACTGTATGTGTACATGTGTGTTGCATACTAGTATTTCATTTTCAAAGATAAAGATCTCGAGTACACTTACAATAGTCAATAATAGTTCAAGTAAAACAAGACTACACAATAATTCCATACCACACCAGTTCTTTGAGCTAGCATCTCCAGTGAAATGGCATACTCATATAATGTTCTCACCCTGTTTGATAAACAGCAGGCAGCCAAGAACTTGAATGGACCTTTCTGACAAGAAATAATGCCTTGTTGCTATTCAGATTAGTACAAGTGTGTTAAGTTTGTTTTCTAAAATATTTTCTGTATTACAAAATCTACAACTGTACCACAAATATATTCCTGTGATGGTCCCAGTCAAATTTTTCGATCTTCGAGTTTTTTTCTCAGCTAAGATGAAAAGTTTCGTATTACATTTGTACTTTGAACAAGATGGATTGCCAAAAGGATGTGACCTATACTATATGATAAAGACAAGATAGTACAGCTGCCAATGAGTTTGGTCATAGATTTTTAACAGTCTTGTTTTCAGTCAAGGAATTCTAATTCCAGGTATTCCGGGCAAAACCAATTGTATTACAAAAAATATTAATTCCAAATTTTCAAATTTGTTCAGTATTACTTCAAAATGGATATGTACATTATTGCCAATCAACAAAAAATATGTATTCACGTCACACTCTCACAGTCACTGTTTTCTTTTAGTGTTCATCATGAAAATCATAATTTTACTGAGATTCAATGAAATGTAAGATGTGATTGGCAACAAGAAACTTTTTCTAGAGTTCTGCTTTAAAATAACATAACCCAAACTGCAAAATATGGTTATCGGTGGTCCACAAATGGATAAAAACATGGTACAAACATTTGCAGCAAACATGTAGGGAACACATTTCCAACAGTTTCAATGAAAATTGTAAATCCCAATACAAACACTGCATTGGAGACAGGTGTATTATAGAAATCTGTGGTCTACAGAATTTTACAACTTTAAAATCTCAACACTTTTCTGTCTCTCAAAAGGCAATAAATATACTTTGACCTTTCCCCTGTGGTGGGATAATCTAGTCTAGTCTGAACTGTTTCCAGCAAAATTCAACTTGGAGAGGGTGAATTACATTTACAAGAACATTCCTGTACATGTTTTGGCCTACAAACCCAGTTTCTTTCAAATCATTGTAATCTAATTACTATAAATTCATTTATTTTCACTGGGACTGCAGAAGGACGTGAAAGGAAGTTTTTGCAAATTGGCAACAATAGAACCTCTGCAAACATTTAAAGATTTGCAGTACTGCATGAGGAGCTTTTTAAAAGTTGTTCCACTCAAGACTTACTAGTGGTAGTCAAGCAAAAAGATTTTTATTATCCCACATCATTTGGGCGAGTGAATGCGCCCTTCTGTTTTTTCTTCACCACGTCATCTGGGGAGGGCGTGGAAAAGTCAAATGGCACAATCTGGGCAACCTGTACAGGTGACACCGACCTCTGACCTTTCCGTTGATGATAATAGGAAAACCTGGGGTGGTTCCCTGCCTGTTTGTAATGACAGTCCTTACAACAGAGTGCTTGTGCAAAGGGAGAGGGTTGAGACATGGCTTCCTTTGAAACGTTTTGTTCCCAGTAAAATGGACTGATAGGTCTATATTCAGCCTCATCAATTTCAGACATTTGTCGTTTAACAGGTAAGATTTTACTACTTTCTGCTTTTGCCTGTGTTTTAATACTGAGATGCAGAGGCATTGGCTCATTCTTTCTTAGAGCTGCACTGAGATCTATGTGGGTGCCACCTGTTGTACCTGACAGACCACTTGTCACTGTAACATCACCTGCAGTACTGCATAGAGATGACAGGGGGAGCTGCAAAGTAGATGACCCCTTCTTGGTGCCATCACTGCTTCCAATCCCTACATTATTGCTGATGGCACCAAACAAACTACTCCCCGGCAAAGTAGGATTTCCTCCATCTGCAAAGTTAGTCTTACTGGCCTGCCTTTGTGATCCCAAAGGTCCAAGTCCCTCCAAACTGTCTCCACCAAAACCCTGACCTAAAAACTGATAGTCTGACAGACTTACTGCCCCTAGCTTACCACTACTACTACTTCCCATCATTGTCAACTGCAAACCAGTTTGGCCTGTAGAAGACAACCCACCACCCAGCTTGTCCAGGCTTACACTACTCTGGTCCAGCCCATACAATGATGTGGTTTTAGAACTAGATGTTTGACTAACGCCGGACAAACTTGCCAGTGTTTTCTGTGGATTGCTACCTGACTGAGAAATGTCTGGAAAAAGACCAGGCGGGCTAGTCCCTGTTGGTAAGGAACTAGATTGTGACCCACTAGTGTTTTTCCCTGACAATAACCCCAAACCCAATCCCAATGGGCTACTGCTTAGCTGTGATAAGGGGGTTGAAAGAAGTCCTGGCGAAGTTGAAAGACCTCCTGAGGTTTCCACTTCTGCCACCTTCTTAGTCTTACCAACTGCAATCCTATGCTGACTTCTGTCTATGGTAGACAAACTTGATGCTGTGCCATGTGCTGCTATCTTCAAACCTTTGTCATCAGAGTTGAGGTCTTTACCACTGACAGCTAGAGGTGATAGTGTACTTGGACTGTTTACGGTTTGCGTATTAGTCGTTGCCTTTCTAGGGGCTTGGTGTACTTGACTGAGACTACCCAAGGCCCCCAAAGTTGGAAGATTACTGCTTCCTATGCTTACACTCTGGGGATGCGCAATTTTTCCACTGAGATTTCCACCAATGGGCCCCAATGGTGAGGTGCTCATTTTCTCATCATCACTACCGAGGTGTAAATTGGCAAGTTCTGATAGACTCATGGTTGAATTGTTGATTCTTTGGGGACTCCTAACAGAACCTACACTGATGTCTTTACTTCCTACCATGTGTGGTACAGGTTTGGAAGAAATGTTTGGATTTAGCTTGCCAAAAGAATGACCAATGGCTGGCTGTGTTGGTGATATGGTTTTGGCAGTGTCAACACTTCCGAGATGTACACCTGCAAGCTGTGATAAGCTCATTAGTGGGCTATTGTCCATCTTCTTGTCATTTAAAAGATTGTTCCCTTTTGTAGATATTATGGATCTGGGTGGAGAGAGACTTGACAAGCTGGACTGCAGTAATGGAGGTATATCAGTAGGTGACATTGCTGTACTGCACTGTGAGTCTGAGGTTGGGACTTCAGTTGTAAGCCCTAACAACCCAACAGGGCTGGCCAAGTCAACAGATGTGTGTTCTTACCTTCCAGAAAGCCCAGTATGTGCAGAGTTGGTGGATGGCAGAGTGTTGTCATGGTGACGGGTTCATTTACCAAGACGACACAAAGCCATGAATGGAAGAAAACATACAAGGCACAAAGTGAGCATGAACAAGTGTAAAAAGTATTTTGTTGAACTTTTTGCATTCTACAATGTACAGTAGTAATACACTGGAAATGCAAATTTGCATACTATCCCCTATTTATCCACATACACATGTACAGTGCAAGCCTTTGTATATTTGTATGCTAAGTGTGGACCCAAATAAACTCAAACTCTTGTATTCTAAATAACCACCTTGTGTCCTGGGGGGAGCAGCAGCTGTGGGTGGTGGTCTAGCTTCCTTCGGTTTGTCCTGGAAAAAAAAGAGGGTACTTTTTACATGCCATGTACTTGTTAAACAGTATGATTTCTGTATCTGTATCTGTATAGCCGGTATTTGTCTACCACCATCAGTGACATCATAATCAATTTCATCTTTTCAGGTTCAGAAGAGATAGTAAGGTTTATGCTCAAGTCAAATTCAGCTTTACTGATCAAGATGTGATGCATGAATTGTAAAGATTTCTTACTAGTTGCCATATAAAAGTCCACAAATCTAATGTCAGAAGAACTGATGCACCTGTAGTGACAACACAGCATCCAGGGCCTTCTCCAGGTCAAAGTCACACTTCATGACGGTGTCTACCAGGATGTGCTGTGGAACACTGTCACCTATCACATTGTGGATCTCTTCCAGACAGGACCGTAACCGTGCTGCAAATACAGTTACAACACAAAACTGTTGTATTTCAAATATCACTACTAGGGCTAATGTACCTGGTATGACCTAATATCTATACCTGATGAATAGATGTATAACAGATGAATAGAACCCAAACTTGTTTAAGTACAGGTATAGGTCTGAACCTATACATAAACTTGTGTACCTGTATGAAAAAAATTGTTCATGTACACAACCCTAATAATAATACTAGTAGTAGCAATATAGCCTTGAAGATACTGTGACTGTGTTTAAAGTACCTTCATTCTGATCACTGAGCCGAGGCCACTGGAAGGTTTGGGAGTCAGACAGGGAGTGGTCGTGGTCTTCATGATCATCATAGTCATACTCATCCTCCTCTTCTATGGACTCTTTCTTTGACTCCTCAATGAAGGAAGACAAGCGGGGGGCTTCACTCCTCCGATACATGAACTGGGCCTCTGTGGAGAAGTGTATACAAATAATACATTGTGCATTTGTAATCCAGAAAGAAAAAAGTACTATTAAAAAATTCCATGTACAAAAACGAATGCAAAATTAAGACACAATGCACAGTGAACTGTGATGTCAGATTTGTGGGAAGTAATTGTTTGTCTTACCTTTTGGCATTCTCCTTCTGTCAATCTACCCCAAAACCCACATGCTATCAACCTACTGTCTGACCAATTGAAACAAACACACATACCCCAGCAACCCAAAACAATATCCTCATGCCCAGAGGTAAATACTAGTACATCCGTACCTGTTGCTGGAGAAACCCCATAGTCGTCCTCCACTGAGTGGCCATACACATCATCATACCCTTCATATTCTGGGAATGGACAGACAATGGCAAAGACTTAAAGAATACTGCAAATTCGCAACCTATCAAAACAATTCTAATCACACAAAACTGGAAATATCAATTGAGCATTCTCATGCTTGTGTGGTTAGACTGTTTTTTCATGGTACACATCATTATACTTGCATACATTGTAGTTTCACTTATAAAGCCATCATGCCCCTGCAATTTACATAGCATTGTACAATACACATGAACGGCAATAAACCGTCATCAAATAGACTGTGGGACTGTTGCAACCTGTTAGTATTACAAATATTTGTATGACAAATTTGTTGTCACAAAGCTAAGTCAGCAAAATATTTTGACTTGAGTATCAAGGTATATGCATGCAGTGTACAGTGTCCACTACAGACCATCATGGACGTTCATAGACCGGATGTTTCTGTGGCGTGACATGGCTTCTTCTGGTCAGTAGCCCTCTCCGGAAACTCTCAATTAGTTATAAACCCGACGCTTTCCTCGAAATTGCTGTCTAACCACTGAATTTGCAGAGAATGCCATCAACACACGACTTAGCCGACTTCCATCACATCATAGACCGCCATCTTGGCGAAAAAGGAAGAAAACAGGTCAGTGCGCATGTGTACCCATCGCTGACTTTTAACCTCATGAAATGATGTAATTATGAAATTCATCCAATCAAAGATGAGAACAGACATCACGTGATTTTCGACTTAGGTACCCGGCTGTCACCTTTAACCTCAAGAACTGATGTAATCTCTGATTCATCCAATCAGTGATCAAAACACTCGTCACGTGATGTGTGACATCACACCGCGCGCAAATCCGAACCAGTTCTCCTGGTGACGTCACGCGCCAAAAGCCCGCTCAACATTTCTCCTCCCCCCAAAACCAGCCACATTTTCGGCGCTTTCTGGGGACAACCAAGCGCCGATCGCGTGTTTTGTGGACCCGCAAAGTTTCCGATGTACTTCTGTGTGAGTTTTACGGCGTCTCGGATCTACGATCAGGGCTAATTTTGCCAAGATGTCACGGCACAGATACTGCAGGTAGGAAAAAAACGGAATCGAACCCGGCTTGAATTCGTCGAAGCTGGCAACATGTCGCCATTTTCTGTGTCTTTTGTTCGATGTTTGCTACATGTACCTGGAGATTTTTCCGTCGACAGATCGTAACATCGGGCGGATAGCATGGCCATTTTTGTTTTGTAATGTGTTAGAGCTTCGATTACTTCCTCAGTACGTTCCGATCGCCTCCGATGTGAAGCAAACCCTCCCACTCAGAAAAAAAAAATTATCCGGAACTTTGTTGACCTGTTGACGTGTCAGAATAAAATTATGCAGCACAAAACCAAGTCACTGAGCTGAGTTCCCGCATATATTTTTACTCACAAAATTCGATGTATAATGTAAGATAACCCTTCAATAATGTTACACGGTTAGTTGATACGAAGATCTTTCTGTGACCACTGTTTTCTGGTACAGGATTTCAGTGTGTTTGCTTTTAGTGGGCTTGATTGGCAAATCATTTGTCTTCGATCAGATGAAAAGGGGTGCAGCAAGTAAGATAATCTCTCTTAGATATTCAAACAATGACTTCATATTGCACACATAGCGCAATAGATGACTTTTCACAATGGTAAGTAACTGTATAACAATCTCGACCAAACATAATTTCATTGGTACGAAATGCTGATAATATATTTGTCTTGAGCACAAAGGTGCAACTGCAAGATGGGAGTGTCTGTCAGCATGGGGTGACAGCTGTTCCCATCAATATTTTTTGGTACCTTCCTTATAATAAGGCTTATTATGGTTCCTTGTCTTGAAAATTGATTGTATACCATTCATATGTTCATTTCTAAAAGAAAGCTTTTCACTAAATAAAATAGTACATTTTTTTTTCCAAAAGGAGTCATGTTCATATATACTAGCATGTACATGTATTTGTCTTTTGTCTTTTTTTGACAATAGAGTATTTTGAATTCTATTTCATATGTTCTATTAGTTTTGACTTCCTAAGTTTGTTTGTACCTCTAATGGGCTTTGTAGAAGTCAGCCCTGTACGGCTAAAGGAATCCAGAGTACCCTTAGAAATTAGAATCCAAAATTAACCAATGATTCATCATAATTTTTTTATTATTTTTTTCCATATAAGTCATAAAATTTACACCTGCTCTGTAAACTCCACAACTGTGCAACAAAAAAAGAAATTCATTTAACTGTCAATAAATTGTAAGTAGTTTGAAAATCTGACCGTTGTAGCACATGTTCTGCTAGCATTACCTCATCTGTTCTACACAAAGTCAACGGATCTTGGCACAAAGCCTAAACCAGTGAGAAGTGAGAAAGACCCCCTCCTCGCTCAGGAATTCTCGCCAGCTGACACAGATGTTATTTGTTCCTGGCACTAGAAAATGTGGAATTCGGCTTTCTCAATCTAAGACAAGTTTCTAGCTTTGCTATAACAAAGTTATTACTGTAAGGCCTCGTTCATGATTGAAATGTGTTCCGGTTTGGCCACGATCCGAATCGAAACGGAATATATTTTTGCGTCCGTGATTCAAAACTTGCACCCACACTGGAAACGGTTTCACACCTCGAGTTGACTTGCATTTCATATGTATATCACAATTTCTTTGAATATTTCCTGGGAACCCGGCTCGTAAGGCGGAGAGTTTACGCCTGTCCGGGCGAGTGGTCGCTCGCTCCCGACTCATGTCCTCCCCATAGGCTGTGCCCCGGACGCCATGATATGGCGCAAACCCCCACGGTCCGCCGCCCCAACGCCCCCATTGGGCTACCACTCGCCCTCACGCCCAGGGTAGGTTCTAGTACACACCATCCAGTTTCCTCTGGATCTCCTGATTTCTCCAAGTCAATATCGGAAGTCCCGTTTCCTCAGTCGACCAGTAATTAAAACTCGATGTCAAGATTGTACGATTCAAGTAGAATTTTCCGCAGTACAAGCCTCTGCGCCGCAAACTATGGCCGACCGTGGCCCCCACGTACCCGGAAATACTGCGTCGAACCGGAACGATTCGCATCCGCGTGTTCATGATTACAATTCTACGAACGCGAATCGTTCTGTATCGTTTCAGACCACCTCGCGAGGTGGTTCAGAATAAATCGCAACGGAACCGGTTTGGAGCGTTCATGTTCCCAAATGAATCGATTTATTTTTTTAAATCGCATTGATTCGCAACAGATATCCAATCATGAACGGGGCCTAAGTGTAACTTGTACATGGCATCTTTAGGGAAGAAGCTCAATACTTCAATTACATGTTATATGCATGACGTGACTTTGAAGACTTTTTGGTCTGAAAGGGTCCTTTATTCTTGTCGTTCAAGGGCACTCTTTTCCCACTGTAACTCACACCCTTTATCCTCAACTTGAGGGGTTCCTAACCTGGATGCCAGACTGTTTCCAGGGCCTGCACAGGCCAACTTGGCTCCAGGGCCAACATACCCTAAAGAAATTATACCACAGACACAGTCCACTTTTCCTCGGGATCTAACTTGTTGTTTTACTAGTTAGAGTCTATTCTTAGGAAAAAACAAGTTTAATCCTTTGTAAATCTGTTGTCACATATACAGCTACGTTGATGATACAGACAGTGATCTGTCGCAAAACGACCATGATTACGATATCTCATCCATCCGCGGAGGCAAGCGTCTGGGAAGCAAGACACGCTGGACCAAGGATGAGGTAGGGTTCAAGAATGTTTTTAACTCAAATTATGACTTATCCAAATTATCAACCATCTTTGTCATGGAATTCACATGCCAAAAACAGCATCAGAGTTGTACAATAAAGAATTTGGGGTAAGTCTAATTTTTGTGATGGAAACTTTGCCTCAGAATGATATGTACCAATACTACCAATACAGATGAACTTTCTTTCAAACTCTTAAAGTTTAATTTAGTGTCAGGTTCATTTTTGAGGAAGTACATGTTGCGTACCTTGTTGGAAACGGCTCCTCTAACCAACTATATCATATCACACATCAGTTCACAAGTTTCTTTGCTTAAGTTAAGGCTCCAGTTGTGCTCATTTACTACTGATATATTATGTCTATTTCAGGACGAGGCCCTGAGACAAGTGGCTATTGACATGGGGTCAGATGATATTGACTGGAAGGCTGTTGCTAAAAGCTTTCCAGACAGAAGTGGTAAGTCTGATAAGAGAACTTGCGTTTCTGTTGGGGGCATATTCACTTACTAGTTGGCAAGCAACGTGACTGGAAAGTACAAGGTCTATTCTTGATGCATGGCACAGTGACACTAACATTAGAGTACATTGTATTGGCTTGCAGTGTGTTGATCTATCTGTGATAGTTTTTCTTTCCTCACTTTTTAGATGTCCAGTGTCAACATAGGTGGGAAAAGGTCTTGAACCCTGACCTGGTCAAAGGTCCCTGGACCAAGGAAGAAGACGAGAAGGTCGTTGAACTGGTGAGGAAGTATGGACCCAAGCGCTGGTCACTCATCGCCAAACACCTGAAGGGGCGTATTGGCAAACAGTGCAGGGAACGGTAAGCAGAAGAGGGGTGTTATTTCTGGGGTGGAAGTTTACTATCATTTGGGGCAGCTATGGTTTCCTGTGAGTCTGTATGTGTCTTGTCGTCTTCTCCTGAGCAGCGAGAATTGGGAGTGAGTTGATGGGGATTTATTTTCAGTTGATTGACAGGGTTGCCCTGGGTGATAGGATGTGGAATGAGGTTGTCAGAGATGTGTACTCTGTTATTATGGTATGAAAAATAAACCATGGTGAAAACAGGAGCAAGTTATGCCATGCAATTGTAACAACCCATTCTATGCTGTTACTCAATCAGGTATTTCACCATGATCATAAAATACAGTTCCAATGCATTCACAAGTTGCAAAATATTTCCCTGTAGTCTGAAATCAGAGCTTGTTTTTTTTTTTGTAGTTGAGAGATTTTAATACTTACTACTCTTTTGTGTGAATTTAGGTGGCACAACCACCTGAACCCAGAGATCAAGAAATGTGCGTGGTCTGAGGAGGAAGACAGGATCATCTACGAGGCGCACAAACGACTGGGGAACAGATGGGCAGAGATCGCCAAACTACTGCCAGGAAGGTGAACAGAACTTGTATAAACTTGTATTCTTATTACCTCAATGAAAACAGTTAACATTTTTTGTGTGCTTGTTTGCTCGCACAGTTCAGTGATAGCTCATGCTGGGTGGGGGAGTTCCTAGTACCTAACTTCAGACCACCATTTTTTTGATGAAAATAAATACCCTTGTGAATGTTGTGATGATAAAGCAATATAATTGTTTGCAAGGACAGTTAGGTCAAAACAAAATAAACTGTAGACAATTCCTATTGCAACTTGAAAACAGACAATACAATCATCAGACAACATGTTAAAAGAATGGATTGTTTACAGTGTATTGTACATTATCCTTTCAATTTCAAAAGAGCCCGCCTTTTCCCCAATTGATAGACAACATGTTGTTTACAAATGTATGCTCTCCGAAGGTCATTGATTTTAAGTGGAGCACTCTCACTGTCTACAAGAAGTCATAGGTCTCGTACCTCCATTGTATATTAAAATTTTTTGTAAATTTCTGACTCGGTAAACTATTCACTTGGTACACGGAAGTAACAAATACGTCTACTAATAACTGTGTGCCTATGACATACAGTGTAAGTTGGATTTATAACCCAATTTTTTTCTACACCTAAGGACTGACAATGCCATAAAGAACCACTGGAATTCCACCATGCGTCGGAAGTATGAGGCTGAGGAAGGCATCACGCAGCCATACCGCAGGCGTAACTCCAGCTCCTCCATGTACTACCCCCTCTCCCACAACCACATGTCCTATCCAACATACTACCCACCCCCGCAGCAGGAAGTGCAACAGCCCATGCATCAGCAGGACCAGATGCAGGTGGGCCATTCTATTATTCAGAAATAGGGAGTGTCCGGGTTTGAACTGTCTTTGAATTGCTGCAGTATTCCAAACAGACTGTAGAAACATTCTAGTAGTCATCTTGTCTTGTCTTGTTCAGGTACTGCACAACACCCCTAGATTGGGGTAAAGCGTGCAGGGGAGCTGCGCGATGCGTTATTGCTGCTTCCTCAGGTGTTGTAGTACTGCAGCGTTGAACTTCGTGGGTTCCGCAGTATCAGATATCTCTTGGGGCAAAATGTTCCAATCTCTGACAGTTTGTGGAAAATATGAATATTTGTAGCAGTCTTTGTGGAACGTTAGAGGTTTGTATGAGTTGGAGTTGAAGTGTCGCGATTGGCGCGGGATAGGTGTCAACAAGGTTTTGACCGGAAGGGCTGTTTTTGAGTGTCTTGCTTTCTGAAGTAATGTGAGTCTACTTGCTGTGCGTCTGTCCTTTAATGTGTCCCCAACCCTAAATCTGTGACCAATTTGGTAGTGCTGGCATAAGTATCGTAGGTATTAGAAACAATCTGGCCGCTCTTTTCTGGACCGATTCTAACTTGTGAATATGTTCCTTGTAGTACGGATCCCATGCAGCGCTAGCGTATTCAAGATGGGGTCTGACTAAACTAGTGTATGCATTCATCTTAACTGATTTAGGACAGCTATAGAGATTGCGTTTAATAAAACCTAGTGATTTATTTGCTTTGGAAGTAATATGATGGATGTGTTCAGTCCAAGAAAGTTTGTTGTTTAAGATAACCCCTAGGTACTTGTGATTATTAGCCTCAGCTAGTGTATGGCTCCCTAGTTTGTAGTCGAATACTTTAGTTTTGCGTTTATGGGTGTAGCGCATGACATAGCACTTATCAGGGTGTAGTTCCATTTGCCAATTGCACTGCCATGCGTCTAACGTGTTTATATCATCTTGTAGTAGGATATGGTCATTGTGGTTATTTATTTCTCTGTAAATGACACAGTCGTCGGCGAAAAGCCTGATGTTAGAGTTAAGGTTATCAGCCAGATCATTTATGTATACTAGGAACAATAAAGGCCCTAGTACGGTGCCTTGGGGTACTCCAGAAACTACTTCTGCCCAATCTGAATGTTCCCCCCCAACTACCACCCTTTGTTTACGTTTTTTTAGGAAGTTAGAAATCCACTGGAGGAGTTTGCCTCGGATACCGTAATTATGTAGTTTTAAGAGAAGACGGTTATGGGGAACCTTATCGAAGGCTTTGGCGAAATCAGTTATGATTAGATCAGTTTGTGATTTGGAATCTAGGGAAAGGGCTAAGTCATTTGTGGTTTGGACAAGTTGAGTCTCACACGAATGTTTCTTCCTAAAACCATGTTGGTTTTCAGTTAAGATAGAATACATATCAAAATGGTCCATTATTTGGGAGTGGATAATGTGCTCCATAACC